ACTTGTGCAAATTCACTTGTTCCTTCATATTTAAAAACTTCCCGCCAGAACGAAGTCGTGCATGGGATAGATCTATTTGTTTACACTCGAGATCGCAGAAGCCTCACATAGTTCTCGACATAAATATACTGCAGAACTCGTGCACTGATTCTCAAAATTCATAAAAATCATCGATTACAAAATTACGAACACTCGATGTTTAGAGATTACACTTATTTTATGATGTAGTGATAAAAGAAATATGGATTGAAGGGATGAGCCAAGCCGGTCAAGCCGATTTCGAGGAGACGCGGTGATTCAGGTCCAGTTAGGTAAAACCCACACATTCCTTCACCCCACCATCACTTCACTCGACATAAATGCCTCTGTCATTCATTATCCCACATACAACATAAATTAGATGAACCATAAGAAAAATCATTTGAAAAATGTATTGCGAAACTTTTCTACATGACATGATTAGTTTAACCTAGGGAATGAAACGAAACGGAGATGTTCAAATTCTTAATAACTCCTGAATTTCTCTATAAAAAATTTTCGAAAAAACATTCAAAATTGACAGTCAACATAAAAATATACCGACACGAAAATGCATGTTATCCTTATAAATAAAAAAATCCATTACCGTTAAAGAATTTAAATTTTTCTCTCGTTGAATGAGGACAAAGTTATAGTAATGATTACAGTATCAAAGTATTTTTCGAATTTTCTTGATTGCCATAAAAAATTTACAATCTTTTTTCAATTCCTAGATATTTTGCACAAACGCTTCTCATTTCATGGTCCGGAAACATTGACAACACCATTGAATATTTTTCTTATCGAAAGTTGTAAGTTTATTTGAGCATGAATATGTCCTCTCAAAATAACATTCATGAATAATGAGAAGCGCTCAGCCTTAATTCCAGAACTTACTCCCTTACTCCACCCATTCAATGATTGACAATAAATATAATTACGATATCATAAATATTAATGAAGACGATTCAATTGACCTAAAGCCCCATTAGTACAGAGGTACCATTGACAGATGTCTGTGTGGGTGCACTGGCTTGGCGAACGCTCATCTCCCAGGTGTCCAACAATTGTGAGACCGAAAAACGTTTTGGTAATTTTGTTATTCTCGCATTGAGAGCTTTCTGAACTGCACAGAGAAATGCTGTTGCGTACTCGTGAGGTGCCATCACACATCTTGGAGGAGTTAGCGGATAGTCTGATGGCACCGTCACCGAGACTGGTGGCACACATGGGAGATGGCGATCGTCCAACCAACAGATCAATTGAATGCATTTCGAGCCTGTCTGCTGTGCTGGATCAAGACTGACTTTGAACCTTTGATCCAAACGAGCTATTTCACCCTGAAGAACGTCAGGTATTTCACTTGCTGATTCATCCACTCGTTGTCTCTTCAATGGCGGTGGTAGACCTTTTATCTCTGGACCGAAAAGAGCGTCTAAACACGGACCAAATGTCCTCTGTAACGTGTGATTGACAACTGGGCTCTGCAGATGCGTGCTGACAGCCTCCAGAAGTGGACTGAAGAAATAATGCTCCTTCATCGATGTACTTACTGGTCCAACACTGTTCTCTGACCTCTTCAGGTCCAATTTTTCCAACGCAGCCTCGCACTTGAGTATTGTCTCGAGTGGTACTCGTTTCGATGAAGTCGATGGAGTTGACAGAATTTCCAGAAGTTTCTTCATTTTACTCATCTTATCGATATTATTCTCATTACCCATTTTCGTGATCATTCTTCTTAAGGGCTCAACGTATCTACTGAGGTGTCGAATTTTTTCTCGGTATGCCGCCTCTTCCTGAGGACTCGGGGCTCCAACTCCACCTGGGGTATTCAGTGAACTACTTGGAGATGGGGCCATTCCTAGGATAAAATCATTTTTATATTATTTGATGCTCAAAAATCATTTATTTAAATTAATTAAATCACTCTATTTAGAATAATTTCAGTGATCAAATCCACGCAAATATAAAAATCTATTACATGCTCTCAGCTAAATTGCAGGACATAGTTCGATATTTTGGAATTGAAAAGTATTACTCAAAAAATAATCATCAAAGTCGCTACTTCAAAATCAAAAGTGATATCTTACCCACAGAACGTTGTTGTCCCATCATTGGATGCTGAGGACTCGGTGAAGGTACAAGCGCAGGTGACGCTACCATCTGATTACTTTGAGGTGCACCAAGACTAGCAGGACTGGGTGCTGACGGTGATGGGCTCTGCCTCAAAAATTGATTAGGTGTAACATTTCTTGGTCCGGGAAAACCAGTATTTAACATTTCAGACTTTCGCTGCATGTGACCCATCTGTGGTGGCATCTGACCAGGTCCCATCTGCCCAGGATTCATCTGCCCAATAGGCTGTGGTGCTCCCTGCATGCCAGGTCCCATAGCACCCATTTGTCCAGCCAATTGTGCCTGCATTTGACTAGGCATTTGTCCCTGCAGCTGACCCTGCAATTGGCCCTGTAGCTGTCCCTGCATGGGATTCTGCATATTTTGCTGCATTTGACCAGGTCCCATCTGGCCCATTTGACCCGGTCCAATTTGATTCATCCCGGCCATATTCCCCTGGGCCATTTGATTCATCTGAGACATCATTGGTCCGCCCTGCAACCCCTGCATTGCTGCCATGTGTCCTATTGGCCCACCAGGCTGTCCAGGCATCATTCCCATTCCAGGCATTTTATTCTGCATATTCTGCATTGGCATTCCTGGGCCTGGCCGGTTCAATGATTGAAGTAAATT